GCCTGGCCTCTCCCCCACCTCCTCCCCTGAGCGAACCCAGAATGACCAGTGCTCTCCAGGGCCCTTGGTAGCCCTCACGGCCGGAGGGGACCACTGTCATCATTTGGCCCGACCTCCTGTGTAAGACAAACCGTCGAACGACCCCAAATCACCCTGGAGCCAGGTCTGCTGATGGGGGGAGGGAAGGGGGCAGGTGGCCTGGTGATACAATGGTAGCTCTCACGGCCGGAGGGGACCACTGTCATCATTTGGCCCGACCTCCTGTGTAAGACAAACCGTCGAACGACCCCAAATCACCCTGGAGCCAGGTCTGCTGATGGGGGGAGGGAAGGGGGCAGGTGGCCTGGTGATACAAAAGGGCCTGGGCCCTTTAAATTGCCGCTGGAGCCCTGTGACCCTGAGGGCTGCCTGGGAGGGGCCGGTGCAGCCTGCTCTCGATGGCGTGGCCACGCCCCTTTGGTCCAAGGCTCCACCCCTTCTGGGAGCACAGAGTCATCCCTCCCCTGCCCATGGAGCCGGCAAGGTTGTCGGTGCCCTTGCCTGGAGCAGATCGTTTAGAAAAACATCCAGGCTTGATCAAAAAACTCAGTGCTGGAGAATCCACCACAACTCTTGGCAAGTTGCTCCCCTGGATAATATCAGCCATCAACGCCCCGTTTGATATTCCTGACTTGCCACGTGGCATGTGCCACATGATCCTCTAACGGTACAATTCTAATGCCACATTTAGCGCTCCATCTTCAGCCTAGTCTCCCTTCTTCCCAGCACCGCTTTGCATCCAGAAAACGTCTACTGTTGTTTGTTTGGCTCCTACAAATAACCACTGGCCCAAATCCTACTCCCACGCCTGCTAAATACCCGATCGCTTGCCGTTGAAAGGTAGCTGCCTTGGTCCCAGGGTATTAGAGCGACCAGGCAGGTGAGAGATTCCCTGTTATTTCCTGGTGGTGAAAGACAAGCTTTTGAGCGCACACAGAAGAGCTCTGCACAAGGCCGAACGTTTGTCTCTTTCACCAGCAAAAGTTGGTCTAGAAAAAGATTTCATGGACCCACCTTGTCTCACATGACCTGCCTGTGAATGCAGATCCAGAGTGAAGCCTAGCCTTCTCCGATTCCATAGGGGCTTTGCCCATTGACTACCGTGGAACCAGGATTTCAGGCCAGGTACCTACCACCTGTCTGAAGGGTAGGATTTGTGACTGTAAAAAGCAGGCACAAAACAGGGAGGCAGTATCTGGAAATTTGAGCTGTAACTCAGCCTAGGTTATGCCTACATTGGTTTAAGCCTATCTGGTTTTAAAATGAACAAGGTGGGTTTTTTTCTTGCAACATACCCAGACATGTGTGTATACTAGGGATACATCCAGTCCTATTAAACTCAGTGAAACTGCCCACATGTTTCAAGTTAACGGCTTGTATGTATGTTTGCAAGATTCAGCAACTGTTAAAAATTCATTCCGGACTTGCCAGAAAGTGGCACTGCCGGCTAGCAGCCTTAAATATTTGTCAGCGCCTCTCCTGAAGGTGGGTAAGTGTTTATATCGGTCCCGTGTCTTTCAGTTGCCTGTGTCTAACCTCCTCCATTTTTTGACGAAGATTAAGTTGTTTCTTTTGGTTGTGGCCATGGTGCTTGTTCTCTCCCTCAGCCCACTGGAGGTGATGCTTTTCCTCTCGAGTCGTCTTGATTTCTTCCAGTTCTTTATTAATCATGTCTAATTCTCTTAGGAGAAAAGCAGAAATAGTTCGTTAGAATCGCTTGCCATGAGCTCTACTCGTCTGTTTTCTACTCTGCTCCAGCCATTTGCTTTGCCTGGATTCCTGTTTCCCCAAACCACCTGAAAAATGTCAAACTGATTTCACAAAGATCCTAGCAAAATTCGCCCCCAGTGAATAAGCACATTGGAATGGGACTGAGGTATGTTGCATATCCCAGGCGGCCTGCGTGGAGCTCAGCACAGGCCTGCACAGACCTTGGGAATTCCTGTACCTGTTCCTCGCCTGTCCCTCTGCATCATGTAGATCGGGACCTTGCTGTGCCAGCCACTCCCCGAAGTGACAGGTGTCGCCTCCTTCCGGAAGGAGACTGGCTTCTTGGCGTCTTGCAACAGGTTTTTCTAGCACTCTCTGGAAAGGGAGAATGGGCTTTAGGGCTCTGTTCACCAGGAACAGCTTCGTCGGCACCAGGCTGTGCCAAGGCCTCAGACGGGCGCCTTGCCGATGGCGGACACGAGGAGGGACCCTGCCGCAGGACCTAGCCCGTTGCAGACCCGCAGCCTCCTCCACTTGGGGAACGAGCAAGCAGAGCTGCAGCCACGCCCTGGATCCGACTGAACCGAAAATCAGCAAACCCTTTCGAGGGCCGTGGAGGAAACAAAGCACCCGCCTGTGGATGCACACAGGTCTGCCCCTCCGGCGGTCACAGGCGGAGGGCAGGTGGGGTTGCTACCTGTGTGTTATCCAGCGCACAAAAGACAAGCTGTTGGAGCTCTCTGCTGTGCCAGGATGCTCCCATCCGCTGTCATGTCCAGCCTCACCACACAGGAGGGCCACGTAACCCTAACCACAGCCCGGGGCAGGCCCACCAGATCCCATGCACTTAATGAGGTTTCCAGGCCCCTGCAGAGATTTTTATGTTAAATTCAGCTTGGTTGGTAGAGATTTCGATAGTTTGTTTCTCTGCGCTCTGTTGCTGGGTACAGAATTGTGTGAACTCAAAGGGTATAGACATGACGACAAACCACTAACGTTAGTTCTGTGAACAGGCGGTGGCCTTAGGAAATGCTTTGTTGGGCTGGGTACGGCCCGTAGGCCATATGCTGGGTACTTTGCAGTACAGGGGTCCGTCTGCTGCCTTATGGGAAGGGGAGCTGTCGAGTCGGCACCAGGACCATGCTCACGAAGGGGCATTCGGGGCGTTTACTATCACTCGAAGACAAAGGGAGGCTTGCAGACAACGCTCAATCTTTTAATAAGCGGGTTCTTCTTTTCCCTTCTGCAGCAGTCTCAGAAGGACCAAGTACCCGCTGGAGTATGGAGGGAAAAGCATCTCCCCTGGGAATTGTCA